AATCTGAAGGGACGTGTGTATGAAGCAAGAGGATGGGCTGTCTTTTTGTATGGCTGTGGGGCTTGGCCTATTCGAGCAGCGGAACTGACACGTCTCCAGGTGTTCGACAATCGTTGTGTCAGAACTATAGCTGGTGTGGGTTGGTGTCGGCGAATCCGTAACGAGGCAGTTGGAAAGCGTGTTTTCGGTTGTATAACGGGTACTTCCATTGAAGAATGTGTGCAGCACCAGAAGCTGCGTTGGTTGGGACATGTGTTACGTATGCCGAACCATCGTTTGCCGAAGAGAGCACTGGTTTGCATGCCCAATTCAGAGTGGCGTAAACAGAGAGGTGGCCAACCCTTGACTTGGCACAGGAGTATGAAGGAGATCACGAAACGCTTGGGTGCTGTTGGTGCTACTCGCCTTCCAGGATGGGGACCGCGTGATCCTCACTGTGCCTGGTTGGAGACACTACAAGCTATGTCTGCAAACCGAGGTCAGTGGGGTTCTTGTTGTCAGTTTCTATCCAGATTGCCCGATTGAATGTCTGGAGGTGTAGGCACCTCGGAATGATTTTTGTAAGCTAGCACCAAGTCAATCCCCCATCCATCTTTATTCCTTTCTTTACAATGGGGCTTTCAAATAAAACATGGTTGTACGCCAGTGAAGCATCGGTGTTGAACACTGATGTCATGCTGTCGGTGATGATGATAGTGATGATCACTGGCATCGATACCCGAGTAGAATATTGGCGCCGCAATGCCATACAAACATGCCAACTTACTCAAAGCAGAATGCAATGGGTCTCAGTCCTAGGCTACTACACATATGCTTCCTTAAATTAGACTACCTGGATACAAATAAGAAAAATGAACGCCACTGCCATAGGTTGGCAACTGTGTGTTTCATTGTCCCCAATCGAGTACAAGGAGCTTTACGTAGGTCTCATTCTGGAAGACAGATCTCCTCGAGATACACTTTTACCCCTTTTTAACGCAATAGTGATTGCACTTGCAGAGGTTGAAGTGTTCCACTGTTGATTCCCTTTGTGATAACGATGCCATAGACAGGGGTTTTTATCAGGTTTTTTATTGCCAGGGTCTTATTTGAACCATCGGGGGCGAGATGGCCCAAGTGGTTAGAGCGCGGATTTACTGACCAGAAGGTCCATGGTTCGAACCCGACCTCTGCCACTCGACTTCCCCTGTCTAGGCTTGGGCGATCTGGCAATATCCCAGCCCTCGTGCTTCCTCCGGGTGGCATGGCAGCTAGGCACCGAAAAAGTGTTAAAGCTGGACGATCGCCCATTCAGAAAGAGTAAAATCCGTATTACCTATGAGGTCTTTCATGCGGGCTGGTGTCATAAAATGATACTGGCTGGTAAACGGGTTCGACCAAACATTCCCCACTTTTGCCGCGAAAATGTGAAAGCACAGCGCCATACATCATGAGTGCTGTGAAGAGTTGGAATCACGAAGAGAATAACCAGTACTCACAAAGCAAGATGAACTGAGACCATTGGCGCGTATGTGTCAGAGTTGCATTTCCCTCAGGTTAGTTGGTCTCTGTGTAGAGTTCAGCCTCCTCAATAGACGAGTATTTGGAGAATGGAATTGCCGTCATTCCTGAGAGATGGCCTTCATATCAGAATTCATGGAGGATTACCTTATACGCTGGTTCTTTAACCTGTATTCGAATTGATGTCTCTGGTTTTCGCACTCACTGCCAGTGTCCCTTTTGAAAGTGGTTTCTCCTACCTACATACTCCAGCTGTTTTGGACAATCCTTGTCAAATTGGGACAGAGACTTTCAACAAACCGACTGTGGATTTCATTCTCAGAATGGGACCAGTAGACTGGTGTCGCCATGGAGGTGAAATTCATCCGCGGATTTCTCAGCCCATCAACGTTTCAAATCCATTGTCGAAAGCTCCTTAAGAGTTCCTACTATGATTTGTTCGTGGTAACGGTTCAAACGTTTCTTTTTTGGAAGTGTTTTACGTTTTTGGCCTCCACTGGTGGCTTGTTGGACGGATTAGATGGAACAGTTTTCGCATATTATCATAGTTCCTGGTTTCATCCTTTCCTTGAGACTTTCCGGCCAACCAGACCCCGATTGGCACGATGCGTACTCTCCACTTGAAATCTGACTGTTCATCTCATTGTATAGTATTCTCTACCAGTTGGAATGTGTCTGAATCCCGAACAAAACTGGGTTCTTGTCTGTGATTCAGTAGTTCTATGCAGCTGGTTGCTCGTCCAGCAGCTTACATGATTGCGGTTAATTGTTTCCATCAGGAGTTCGCGGTAGGGTTAGATATTTTCTATCACTGAACTGGTTTTATGCATTGTCTGTGTTCTCGGAAAACAAGAATAGAAGCAGCAACATTTAAGTGTGTGCTCAAAATCCACAGAGCTGTACCGGAGCCATGGCGGGCAGTAGTTTTTCCATGCCATATTTTGTTGAAGGGGATGTGGTTCGTGTTTTCGCCGGGTTCGTATTTTGAGGTCATTACCCTCATCGATAACAATGCAATATAATGCCCAGTGTAATATGGAAGGAATGGGGACTCGTAGAAATAGCCTGCTCACTCTAGGACAACAATCAAGCATACACTACCCATACCTGGTTTCGGCACTACGAAAAGTATTTTGCTCTGGCTTCTTCGCTAGTGTAGGAACTCCTTAAGAAACTCTTTCATGCACACGGCTTCGACACAATGACTGGTCACATTGCTGTTCAAATCGTTGGCTGAATAAAACATGACCGACTTGAAAAGCACCATGCTGATATGTGGGTAGCATTAGATACAAGCATATTAAAAAATGGAATGCGAAAATACCCATTACTCCGCCTCTGGAAAATGAAAAAATCGTTTAGCTGTGGCACCATTTAGGTGCTAACTGCTACGCTACCAGAAGGAAGGACGAGGGCTTGGATACTATCAGGTTGTCCAAACCTAGACAAGGGAACTCGAGATACAGAGGTCAGGCTTGAACCACGGACATTCCGGTCAGTAAACCCGCGTTCTGCCCACAACCGATTCGCCCCGTCCGCCTCTGGAATAAATAATGACTTGTGTATATTTGTGAAGGTATATCATCTGGGTGAAACCAAACCATCCTAAAATTACTTGTTACTGAGGGATGGGTTTCCTTTTTTAGAAATTCAAATAAATTATGTTAAATCAGAAGAGCTTACTATCTACCCTATTGCGGCCATCTGCCTCAGCAAGAACCAGGTTCATAGACGTCTGGAATCGCTGCTCTCACAGTCGCCGATCAAAACTTGGTTCCAGTGGCGTGGGCAGGCACCCTGATGAAGTGAACTTAATAGTGTCGATTCAGGCTTTCAGGTGATTATCTGGACAACTTCGCCAATCTTGGTGAAGTTTTGGATCAACCAACTGAAAGCTACCACCTTGATGTAGTGGTCGGGGTTGAGTGCTGCAATGATCCCACATACTATACTGGTTGGGACTTCATTCCACAAGCGACAACCATGCCAGGAGGGCCAATGATGGGCAGTGAAACTAATAGTGGGACCTCGCACTAAGAGTAATCGAGCTACACGGCGGTCTGGGGTTTAAAACATATTGTCCTATACGATGGGAGAGTGAAGACATTAAAGTGTTTCCTCAGGCGACCAGCGTATCCATATTCATAGAAGCAGTGATGCTCCATTCCCCTAAAGGACGGGTCAGAAAAGGTCGGTCCTAAAAACCGTACAATCCGATTGCCCTATGGTTGACCGTGACCGACGGCACATTATTCAATACGATCGGAATACGTCTAAAACCAGAATCCGGTGCTCCTCAACAGGCGCTGCTGTGCCCAGCTGCATTAGGAGTGGGACAGCAAATACCCTACTGCCTGCGATCTAGAATAGGGCCAGCCTACTTCACCCAAGCAGGACAGACTTGTGAGTCATAGATTCCGAAACCGGTCCCCAAACAAAGTCTGTGTCCGTTTCTTCGGGGGTCAGCTACTAGGGTAATGGTCAACAAAAAAACCTATACCCCCCGTTTAGCCGCAAATAAGCGCAGATGCCGCTTGGGCGTTTGCAGTTGGGTGCTGCTGCAGCCAAGGATCCTATCCCGCACACTACTGGCCACAAGATCGGGCCACTTACCAGTCCAGCATCAGCGCCAGCTCTGATTAGTCGAGTTTGGACCCAACAACCAATCTTTATCCAGTACCCGCCGGGTGCTGGTTGACAATGCCGCGTCCAGCTGTCAGAGTTTCCAGAATGTTGTCGCCTCATAGCCTTAGGATTGACGCGCTGTACATATGTTTGTGATCATGTTTTGAGCGTCAGAACACGTCATGAACCTATGGTGATTGTTTTGACGGGAACGCTAGCTTGTAAGGTTTTGAGCGGGAACTAAACCGAGAAAATTCGGTTATTACATTTTGTTTTGACGGAACGCTAGCTTGTAAGGTTTTGAGCGGGAACTAAACCGAGAAAATTCGGTTATTACATTTGGCGGACGGGAACCCACGATATCTGACGAATTTAGTAAGCTCCGTCAATTAGTACAGCCTTCGCACTGGTCTATTTTCTGTACCACAAAGAACGCTTTGTGGGTATTACCCAACCTTTCACAAAGGTAGTCGTAGCAACATATTTGAGTTCATTCGTGTTCTACGCGAATTCCTTTGTCGTTAGCAGTCCATCAGTACTGATTGCTAGCAGAAAATATATCTGCTTTTTTAAACACTTGAAGCGGATAGTTGCTTTGTAATTCAATTGCAGTGGTGCCGGAATACTCGTTCCTGGTCGATCAGATTTGAACATAAATTTGCTATGGATCAATGAACTAGCCTTGGGAAGGAAGATTTTGTATGATTCGTTCACAACCACATAAGGAACCCCTCACATTCTATATTGATGTGCACAATCTAGACAATCGATTAACGGGCAAATAGTGGTGTTAGATTTTGCGAGAAATCCAAACGAGATTAAAGCTCCACTCTCTGCTTTTGATTTTTTGAGTGAATTGATTTTCAAACTAAGCGCAGGACAGCACTGACATGAGCTAATTGCATCTGCTGCCATCATGCCGGGCAGCTAAGTGCGGACAATCGGGTTAGTAAATAAAAAAACAAGGAGATTTGCGTGTCCACATTTGTTAACGCAGAACAGTGATATCTAGCATGTGTGGTCTGCAAATAGCCTGCACAGCATCAATGGATATATGTCGATCTGCTGAACGTAGAAGGCGAGTAGCGAAAATCTGTGGCTGTTTTTACCCTCCACATGGTGTAGAGTGTGACAGCTGATTAATGTTTTGAATCAATGCTCACTTGTAGATCGCACTTTCAAATCACTTGTTTTGCGAACAATGAGCAATAGTAATAATACGAATTAGGATTCCCTGAGTTCTGGAAAGGTTGAAAAGTAGCTGAAGTGCTATAAACTCCGTTTGATAACTTGTTCCACTACCTATGGTGTTTGCTGCACCAGCAAGCCGAACGACATGCGTGCGAAGGCCTCTGGCGTTCCACTGAGTGTGAATGAAATTAGAAGACATCTGTGCTACACTGTGCAGAAAGAAAATCTGGAAAACGATCAACATTTAGAAGATGCGAACAATTCTTTCTTGGATTTGTCCTAAAGCACATGGATACTTGATGGCATGCATGTATGGATAGGCAAGGATAATTCGGAAAGGCAGTCTTGTCGCATGAAATCATTGCACCGTGACGATTGGAACCTGGGGCTCCTCACATCATTGTGTATTCAAAGAATCCGCAGAACAAATCTCCGTTAGTTGGGGCTATGTTGACGCCGCTATTCCGATTAATGGCACCTCAAGAAGCTTTGCCATTTTCGGATATTAGCGACCGAATTAGTTTAGAATGACTTCGGGTGAGGGTCATACTACTGCCATTCGCAGCAGTAACTTGGAGTTTTATTGATTTCTCTTAGCGCAACGTGAGCAAACGCACATTGTGACGCACTGTTTCAGCCTCTGCCTAATGTTCCTTCGACGATGGTAGGACTATCCTGTAATTATTTTAGAGCAAGATTCAGCGCCAGTACTTTTGAAATAATACTAACTTCATGTTTTTCGAAGTTCTTGGTTCATCAAAAAAGTGCTGCAGAACCGGAACGGCTTCGCCCGTGTCCCTGGACCTGTCATATGAGCCTTCAATCAGAGAAGCTGTGCATTCGTTTGTCAAGTTGATGATATTTCGAGGTGTACAGTATGTCTCGACTGGATGGAATCTCTGATAAGATAAACTTTATACACAAACTTGTCAGTGGCCACAGGGAATGAGCTTAATTATTATTTTTTTCAAGTCACAAGAAAATCCATGATGCCGCTCGTTCTGAATCATAAAGCTGTGTTTACTTCCATTGACCGTCATCAGAAAGTGAAAATCTCATGGGAAAGCCCCAAAAGTTGAAAGATCGCGCAGTTCGTTAGCCGACCATATGAGAATCAGTCGAAAAAGCAGACTGACTTTTCAACTGCAACTTTTGATTTAATAGGTCATTACTTTCGGTGACATGTAATTCATCAGGATACTGCTAATTAGGCATGCTGTAGCTATAGAGTTAAAGAGAATCTGTACACAAAACGTAACTTTTGTCGTATGCTTTTTTGCGGACATCGCTACTACATGTGCCCGTTACCGGCGGAAACCGACACCGAACGTTGGATCAGGCTGATGAATAAAGTAGGTCGATGCCTGTAATGGACTCCTTAGGTTTCCGAAGTAAGAGGTGACTTACTTCCCCCTTTTTTGTACTTCATGATCGGCATTTGGAAGAGGCTTAGAAGGGGATCGTTTAGGTGTTTCGAGCAGTTCATTCTTCAAGTTCATCTTACGGGCGCAGTTACAGCTGTGGCTCTAAAACACGATTTCAACTCTGTCAAACCCTCGCCTGGCAGTGTCGATAAGCTTTTTTCACATTTCCCACGGGCAACGATTTGTTGGGATTCTGTTATGCTGGTGTCGACAAATGAATGTTCCACATTAGCTTATCGTGGCCACTCTAGGCTGTATCAATAACTGATTATATTGGTGTAGTAGCGGCAGGTTAAAACGGTCAGTCACGTTGCGTTGGTACATCTGATAAAACATGCCACTCGTTGGCTGGAAGACACTAGTGAATAAATTTCAGTTGCCAGTGATGCAAACTTGTGGGGACCCCACAATGATCGTCCGCAATGTGACCGCGTGGTGAAATGAGAGCTGGCCAGCGACCGAGTACCCTGGGTCAGGTATTGCTTAAAGGCACGTAGGGGATGAAACCTCTATAAACGCAGTCTTCTCGAATCATCCTCGACATAGGCGTCTCAAATCTCCGACCTTAGCAGAATATTAAATGAATGAATGAATGAATGAATGAATGAATGAATGAATGAATGAATGAATGAATGAATTGTACCAACATCGCTGTGGGTAGATTACTTATGCTAGTTAGATGATCCCCGAATCCTCCACTCGGGATTAAAGTAAGCTAAAAAGTACGCTTGCCTCAAAAACTGCGATACCTCAAACCTTACCGCATCCATGAGGGAGTGAAGTGGATCCCTAAACAAATTGATGGATGCTTGTTAGTCTTCTCGTTCCGAATTGACTAATGTATTGTTGACTGCACCAGTACCATCAAGTAGAACGCCATTCGCCTTGTGAGCGCCTGGGCTGTAACTCAAGCTTCGGAAATATCAAGCAGTCATACGAGGTAAGAAGCAGAGTGATGTAGTTCTTGAGATTATTACTCTAGATAAATTTCCTCCGTTTGGTGACAGGCTTATTATTTCCACTCGACCATGCACTCACGCATTCAGTTCATTTGTTGATATCCCTATGGGGACGGTTGTCTCAGGGTAAACGACTTAGGCCCAGGTTATTCCCTGTCGAAATTCTGCGAGACACGAAAAATGGGAATGATCTGCTGCTGACTGGGTCGTTCATGCTGACAAGGAGCTCGAACGAAGAATTCTGCAACAGTTGGGAATTTGAATCCATACCAATGCCAAGTTAATCCAATATGTATTAAAAGCCTTCCATTTAAACGAAAATAAGTCGCTTTTTCTCAAAAATTCTCTCTTCTCAATAAAGCTTTCGCATTCTCCAGGGTAAAGCAGGAGATTCTTATTGTTGATCCAAATATCAGACACAGCCCCGTTTCTCTGCGAGTTGACTGACCTCTGGAGATCTGAAATGTTCGGGCTGAAGAGAAACTGTGGCATTTAAGAAAAATGGTAGGTTTTTGAATAAAATGGTAACGAAATCAGGCCAGGAGATCTTGGCGAGTGGGGATTTATTATTACCACAGCCTTTCGGTCAATCATTCTGTATCAATTTATACACAAGAGACGCACGAAACACTGCACTACTGGCATTTGAATAAATCAATTTTACAAACGGTCCACCTGACCAATGTCTCAGGCCCAAAGCAACAGGTGTAGCCACATTATTGAATTTCTTTGCGAACTTATAAATTTTTATCGAAAAATTCCGGAGTTTTTTCCCGATGTTTCGAATTTTTTCCAAAACTTTCGAGGATAGCGCTCTCGGTCTGGTCCGAAGTTCACTGGGTGCAGGGGTAAGCTATTAGGAGAGGTAATATTGATTACCGCATGACTTTCCAACTGCTAAGGTCATTTTATTTGTCTAAGAAAAGAACTTGATAGAAACGCCGCTAGCTGAGATATTTGAGCCTGCGTAGAACAACACAATGGTAAAAAGCATTGAATGAGTTAGGTGTAAATGAAATCTTTCAGTGCGTCTCAAAACTTACAAAATACGAAATACGACATTGAAGTTTTCATGTGTCGAACCCTCCAGAATCATTTGTTTCACAAACCCTCAGTTCTTGATTGAACACAGATTACGTTTTTGATTTCAAAAGCACGAAGCTTCGAAACCCAGCATGCTGAACTATCGACAGGCTTATTTTCAAATGCTGTTTTCCTGAATGATCGATCACCAGGTCACTTAACCCTTACCTCAAGAAAAGGGGAATTTTTAACCAATATCTTCGGAGATCAACAGCTTACCTTTATGGTACGGTCAGTCCTAAGGCAATTTAATGAGCAAAACTTTTTTTAAAGTTGCTATTGTCAGAGATAACGACCAACTCATACTCCTTGCTGTAGTAACCACATCTGAGAAACAACGGCAGACTGAACCGACGTGTTTAGGTTTATTAAAATGTTAAAAAACGACTACATACGTGATTCCATTTCGAAATACTCGCGTTCATTTCGGAGTTCAACTTCCAATTCATGTCACCAATGGCCGTTACTGGAAAACTGGGTTCTGGATGAGTTCAGCATTTTTGTGTTGAACGAACTTATTCCCATGACTCGCAGACCTGTCGAACGCAGTTAAAACAGCTTGTGACACAGTGACCAGACAAACCTACTACTGAACACTCGTAGTAGTTAGGTGCAGACAATGCCACTAAAGAGGACAGCTTTAACCTCAGCACACATTGATTCTAACGCTTGCTGTTGGGGGGAACGTTGTTGTCTCAGGTGGTGTAGATTGGTCGTTAGTTTGTTCGCTGAGCTGGGCAGCTTGATTGACATCATCAGTGAGCTGTTAAGGATCGTTGCGATGGGGCGGTAGCTGTGAATAATTACGGACGAATCGCTGCGTTCCTACCGCTAATAATATTCTGACCACTTGCCTTCACAATTCTGTTTAGAAACCAAAGTACTAGGCTTTGAAAAAAAGAACTTTAACTTGTATGTCACGAGTGGTGAGTAAATGTTTTAGATCGTCGACTGGAATTGTGGCAAAAGCGGATTTAAACTGCATGGGAAAACTGAATTCTGTCAGATGTAACACGAAAACATGGCCTCCTGAGATTCAATATCAGTTTAAAACCAACCACGATGGGCCAGGTATGAAATCCTTTTCACGTTCCTTACACCATACCAACTAAGATACGGGTCATATTTCGGACACTTGTATTACTCTTGCTATCTGGTTTTAATCCGCATCTGACTGAAACGCGTCATAGGATTTCCGAGACGTGACAGTATGTGGAACGGTTCGCACCTGATGCTTGCCCCACCTCTTCCACGGTGGATGCTCTCTTCTACCAATAATCAACTTGCCCGATTATTCCTTGTGGTCAAACAGTTCTCATCGACACTAGATATTTTGTTCCTGGCACAAATTCAGCTGTCAATCTCACGTGTATTCTACTCTGAAATTATTTGATTCCTGCGTACACATGACGCAAACCATTTACACGGTTCTTCCGGCCGCTATGGCTTTGTCGTGGTTGAAAATGATGCTTTCTCATTTGTGGTGGCATCGCCTATCGCATCATATCCTGAGTACAAACCTCCACAGAATTCGAAGCTCTGTAAGGTAGCACAGCTTTTTTCCTTGGACTAGGGCTACTGACCACATACTGGGAATGAACAAGAGTTGATGGCATAAAAGACACGATTGTACAAAGTAGTTCAATAGACGTAGCGTTATCTCACTCAACCCAGGTGTTCGTCTGCTTTGATAAGAATCACGAAACTTTCCGAGTAATCAAAAACACATTATGGTCATCATCTGTTTTCGTAAATCCAGAAGGTCAGCTTTTGTCTGCCTTGTACACATAAAAAAAGAATGAATTTGGCGAATTTCAAATAGTTGGTTTGATTACAGTTCGAACTCTTTCCAAGAAATCGCTTCAAAATTGAGCGGATAACATCGTTAACATAAATAAAAAGGATACTGGGAGGATAGAAAATCAACAGAAGAATGGAGGACAACGAAATAGAACGGATGAAAACTGTACAGCTGATTTCAAGTAATGAACGTTGTGAACATGTGCGAGAAAACCAGAATGCTGAGTGAAAATACTGAATCATTGATACAACGATGATACGGTTCACACGCAAGCTAATCTGGACAGGTTAAAAGTGTCTAAGTTCTGAACCGAGCCTCCAGCTTATTTGGCGCGACAGGGTGGACTGCAGGAAAACACCAACTCAGCGCTCTCCCTTCTCGGAATCACTAAGCCACTCGGCAAATCATCCAGATTGGGGACTGCTTCGTCTGAAGCACATGGGACCGAGGGTTGGACACAATTAAGGATGGTCTGGAGCGCTTGAAACCAGCTGACAAGAGCGGAATAAGAAAAGAAGTCAGTTCAGTAAGCTGAAATCTTCAATTATTTGCAATACAAGCCACGGGAATAGCAAGTGAGGTTAGACTCGCAACGGACGGCCAGTAGTGTCTGTCATTCTTGGATGTACATTGGATCTCAATGGGATTACTTGTGTAAACGTCCTACGTAAGGCAGTTAACGCAATTTGGAGGAAACTGCACCTCAAATCTAGGGAGCGAACATTCCATTGCCATTCAAGTCTGAAATATTTCGGAATGACAAGCGTGCGACATGTTTTCTGCATTACAGTACACAAGTAGGTGCTGAGTTCGTTAAGTTCTGCAAAGATCTAACGACAGACAATCTTTGTGGAATTCCTTGTTCGGTGATCTTTTCCGAAGCGTATCTAATGGGGTGGATGGAAAGCTGTGTTAGTTTTCCGAAGTCATTCCTTCTCACCTAAATAAACATGCTAGGCTGACTGACCCGTTCACAAATAACCACCGCTATACAGCCATTGGCATACAGAGTCTTTGGTAGAGTTGACTGTCTCAATTCAATTAAGCGCAATTTCAATTCAAATAACCCACCTCATTAGTGCTTGGTTGGATTCTGCGCGAAACACATGTTCTTTCGAATTACGCACAAGAACAAGGTCGCTATCCGACATTGCCTTTCCTGGTTTTGCGTCTTTTGAACGATTCTCTGTGTCGCAGCTCACGAGACTGATTGAATAACCGGGCAAAGTCAGCGTAGTTTGTGGTTGTGAATCGCCGGGATCCTTGTAAAACGTCAGCCGAAAGTCGCTGAGTACAGTCCATAACCTTTGGAAACCGGAGCCGCGTTGAAACTTCCGGAACAAACTTCCATGCATTTCGCACTGATATGAGACAATACATATGGGTTTAGCATTGCAGAAAAACAAACTGATGGCAAAGTGTTGTCAAGAAGTGAGACATTCAAAAGCCAAGTAATGGATAAGTGTAATGTGGAGGTGCTGATGCGACACACTCATGACACATTCACTTTTGGAACATTTTTGCCTCATCGTTGTTGTACACTCTGCAGATCTCTGGGCCATCCAGGGATGGACAAGAGCAAAGCCCATGTTACTAGAAGCCTCGCCATCCGAGATCTCAAGGCTTAACACTAGAAGACCGAAGAGCAATATGCATCCCGAACTTCTTTTACTGAATTACTTTCTACCCTTCCACCGTAGAGGTATGAAGCGGAATGCAATCAAAGGTCAAACTTTCTATTTCTTGGTCAGTGTGAGTTTGGATAATTTAGTTTTGAACCCGAAGACTAGAGACGGACTCGTGTTATCAGTCTCATATTTTGAAACTTAGCGAGGCCATACCTGTAAAAACCGCAGTGTCCAAACGTTTATGAAGTTCGTTATCACTCCGATCCGCTCAGAATTCCACTATCCCATTCTGGCGTAAAAAGTCCCGCCGTCAAACAGTTCACCGAAATACTTTTTTCTGCAAAATGCGGATTAAATTAAAATAACTACGGCGTCAAGTTTGCACAGCTGTGGCGATCCAGATGCTCTTTCCGTTCGACAGCTGTGGCACAAACACACGAGCGTGTTTTGACCAGTTTTGTGAAAATGTGGTCAAGGGAACCAGTCGCGCATTTATGAACTACTGGAATCCCTCAGATTTCGCAGCCAATAACCGCGCCTATCTGATGAGCTCCAGGAATGTGAAAAACGCCAGCGAGCTTCTGCAGAGTTTTTACAACCACGTGATCAGTGTGTTCCGCCAAGAAAGCCGCATATTCTCACTTTGGTCTTTGAGGGTAGCAGTGGGCATCGGCATGTGAAGTGGATTCAGGCACAACCCGTGACTGCTCGGTCTTGTGTATAAGACCGTTTTGGATAAACCGAGTTGGTACGCGAAGATGTGGGTTGTCAATCAGGAAGTAGAAGGAACAACCCGACACAAATTCACTTGATTACCTCCACTTATCCTACTGTCATAGCGCTGCAGAATGACAAAAGTTATGTGCGACACTCAAGAAGAATGCTCAAATGAGGTAAACTGGAAGAGGCGAACGCACTTTTACAAGGATATCACAAGTTTCCTGACAGCCAACCCCCCAACCAAACTAACAAAGAAAAAAAACATAACCTTCTAGTAGAAAGGGACCTTGTTGATTGGCTTTTCTTCTGCCCTCAAAATAACTCTTCTGGTTAGTCAGCGCGGGGGTGTGTTGTTGCGCCTTAAAAATAGATGTAATCTACACCAAACACTGTGCTCCTTGCATTATTAACTTACGAATCACTCAGTGTGGGCGATTCATGCGGGGAACATTTCATTTTGATGCTTACTAGACAATATCTGGGCTGAAGCAGTCCAACCTCCTGGAGGTTTACTGAAATATTCGTGGCTCGGGTGAGTTTACTGGTGGTAGATCAGGCTGTCGCTGATCCGTTTACCGAGCTTAGCAATTAGGGTGCAAATATTTCTTTTCCAACCGAAATGACATCACTACCGTGCACCAATTTTGTCCACTAGCTTGACGATGAAACGCTTGCAACCTAATTTTCAAGCCCGGCGAATAGACTAACAACCATCCGACCAACCATGAGAGCTTAGCATCCATTACCACAGAAGTTGAAACGAGCAATAACAGCTAAGGCCTTCAGTGTGTACAGTTGACGAATTGGTAGACGCTTCGTGAACTATAGGATAGTAAGTAGTTTGTCATCAACTAAACAAACGAACAGAGGTCTGTCTTCCTCAAAGAGCATCGGCTCAGATGTATGTGATTGTTCACAGACCCCAAAACTGTTCACAGGTGGAAGTATGGACAAAATCATTTCGCTTAGTATAGTATACACTAAGTATACACTTAGTATACACTAAACTGTTTTTACTATCCTGGTGTACACGATTGACTGTCATGATCACTACCATGAACGATGACACGCCAGTAGTAATTAGTGGTGTCTGACTGGTGCGTCATCTGTCAAGTGATTAGCGGATCCGAATGAAATTTGGGGAGCCAACAGGGACGATGACTTAGGAAAAGTTTTCAACAATTAGCGATTCAGTTAAGAGATGAATTCGGCCTTCTAATAACGACCTCACAAACTTGACTCATATCGATATTTCCACTGAACCGCGTTACTGCTAACCATAAATATGAATAAAACCCTAGTTCACCGTTGATAACGCAGATAAGCTCATGAATAGAAGCGCGAAAACGTCCATTTAAAGCTTCGCTTGAAGGAATAACCGCTGTTACTTCAATCAAGGAAATATCACAAAGGATCAAAACCAATAAACGGTCTTACATCATTGCCATTTAGAAGTTGCATTTGTGACATCGTCAAGTGCCGTCTCCAACACACATTTAGTAGGTTATTCCAGAGGACGCCTTGGGCCGCAATTCGTGTGTTTTTCCAATCAATCGACCATGAACTGCCTGTACGATTGCTTTCACCACACTGGAGCGTGAGCTGCAGCCGCAAGATATCAGAACTCGAAGGGTCAGGGAGACGAATGACACCTGAATGGACGGGAACACCAAATTGATATCTAAAATGAGTTAATCAAATTGCTCAGCTCGGCAAACAAGCCAACGACCACCATCTACGCTACCTGAGCTACCGAAATTTTCCTCTATAGAAAACGTTGGTATGTTCTTGATTAGTGAGTATTTTCCGGTACTAGGGTTCTGGAACCCGGTCAGTTACAACAACTTCCATACTTAGAGATCCCCAATCTGGTTGTCCACTGAAATTCCTACCAGTTTCATAAAACCCAGTTTTTCTTAATGTGCTAGGGTGATTGCTTCTTGGCTTTACAAAGATTTACCTCAACGGTGACCGTAGATTTTCGCGGGGATCTACTGTAATCTACTACCACACGGTTCTGAAGAGACCTAACATTAGAAAATAGGTCCGTTCGATATTGTCTTTGATTCAAATGATCAAGAGCTCCTGCTGCATTAACTTTTCGTCACCGAGAGTAAAAGGAATGTCTTAAGCAGTTGTTTTGTCATGTTTCCATTCAATTTTCCACATATTCCTTGAATACTAAATAAAAGTGACTTCTGGTAAAATATGCTGATGACTTTGGTGACAGCAGAGCCCTAACTGCCACCAACAACCTTAAAGGGAAAATAAAAGCTTCGGCCTTGTGAATAGGGTAAGGCTAAAGGCGTCTACATGCACTAAGACTATGTTTACACTGAGGCCGGATAGATACCTCGAGAACACTTAACTGTTCTTGTCGCCGCAACTCTCCTCACCGATTGTTCACTACCACAAGTTAACTGCATAAAATGTCTTGATATTATAATCTTCTCCGGTATGAAATGACATGAACTTGTGGACAAGATCTTCCTTAAAATTCACAGACAGTGCACTCTAGTGCTAAGGTGTTTTTTTCCAAATACCGACATCCTGGTCGTATTCAATCCAATTCATTCAACTTATCGGCTACAAACCGTGTACCATAGTCACATTGGTTCCAGCTGTTTCACTCTCGGCCACCATGACGTGGAAGAGAGCGGAAGATAAGGACAAGCCTTCGAGGCGATGGCATATTCAGTTAGTTTGGGTGATAATCTTGAAGAATGAGTGCCCCTGACTGCACGATTGGGTCATTTCTGCCAATGTCGTTAACCATTGAAGAGTTGAGTCCCGGGGTCCCCATCCAGGGATGCGGTAGCTGTCGAGCCGAATAAGTTTACTGGTTAGTGTTTCCGTACTTCGCGGCCAGGCCATTGACTTTCCACCTCATGGTCGTTTCCATTCAGCACAGGGCTGGGGGAATGGAGACCAGCGAGGCAGACGGTCTTCTGGCATGCGAAGTATATGTCCTAACCAGCGTAACCTATGGAGCAGGAGAGTTCCTACTTCTTAAGACTACCTTGCCTACCTCAGTTTTGCTAATCCGGTGTTCCCGCCAGATTAGACCAATGATCCGGAGACACCCATACCCAAACACTGACATATTCCGTATGTCATCTGTGCGTAAGGGCCATGTCTCTGATCCGGCAGCTTGGATAGCACCGCTGCAGTGTCAGCTCTGCCCGTGACCTCACGTCACGTCGACGCCATAGGTGTCGGAGTTTGGCTAAGGCTGTCCTACCCCTCCCGATTCGAGAAATAATCACATTTTCAGCCAGTCCACCGGAGCTCATAAAACTGCCCAGGCCAAAAATGGATCTACCAAACAGTTCATTACGTTTTATGGTTAACAAGCTTGTGACCATGGCCAATATAACAGACAAATAGAACTACGTAGCCTTGGTCAAAGCTAGAGTCTTGATCTTCTCTCACTGGTGCTGCTCAATGAATGATCTGAGATTCTCGCTGAAACCTCTTCAACCAATGTTCTTCTGCTTCGAAAGCTAGCGGTAGCTACAGGAGAGCAAGCATGAAATCGACGCTAAGGAAAGGAAACACAAACTTTTGACTAACAGCATTCCATGGAAAATGTTTTAAGGATACCAAACTGCCAGCAGAAGACTCACGCTAATTGAATGTAAATAAACTGATGATGTCGTTATCGTTCCCGCTGACTGAAATTCAGAAGCAATTTCCAACCTAGACAGTTTTGAACAAACTAGTGAATTGGTTCTAGAAGCGGCGTGTGTCATTTAATGTCAGTAAATGCAAAAACGTTATTCCCTCAGTGACCCCAGGCAAACGTTATGGGGAAAGGTTCTGTAAACTCTCATTCATAAGTGACAACATGCTTCTTCTTTCAGTAAACAGTATTGTGAAGTAGTTGAAATCAGTACTCTCCGGAAACCCCAGCTGCTTCCTCTATTGCAACGGTCTTCACCAAAACCTGATGACCAGCCTTTTACCCACTCAGACTGAGTATGATAAAACCCAGTGATGGGGTTCTCAGTCACAGCAACCTCTTTGTATTACATGTGCTGTTCACCTGATGTAGTTTCCGGACTCCTCGAGTAGAAGGTATGCATTACTGAAAGGTCTCTAAAGTAAGTTTATTGAGATAGTTGAATCTCACGGATTAAATTATACGGTGACGCTCTGCTCACACTATCTGCTACATTTCATTTTGCCCACTACTCCAATACGATCAAAGTTAACAATGTTGTCTGACTGCACTGAAATGTTCTTCCTCATGTGACCCAGCACCTTAGTTCCGGTCTCTTGGTGACGGATCGCCTGAGGCTAGAGGTTCTTACATGGGTAATACCATCGGACTGGTTCACTCTTTTTACATTCAATCATTCGAAACCGTTGAAAAAATTCAAGGATTCACCATCCGGTGCGTGAGTTTTTCCCTAGCTGGGCTTGACACAACTCATGTGATCCCGTCTGGACTGTCGCCAAGTAATGAAGAAAAGATCAGGGTGATTTGGAGGAGTGAAGCCAGTGGAATATAGCTACATTGCGCTCAGTTATTTTGAATGAATTCCAGGGTAGTTACTAAATCCAAAACTCTAGGGGAAACTTTGTTGGCAGAATGTGCACGAGCAAGTTATAGTCAGCTATATTGTGTTGTTGAATATATTTCGGTGACCAGTGAGGAAATTCCTGGAAAGATCCTCGGGCATGAATTCTGAAAGCTCTTAAGACCCTGGAAGATAATTAATCAAGCGATTCAGAAACCAACCGTTCGATAAAGGGGAAATATCGCAGCTGATAAATGGAATACAATATGAAAGGACTTAACGAAATTAACACATTCAACTAACCTTGGAAGAGATCAGCACTGGTCGGAATAAAAACAAGTTGCGGGGAAACATGAGTGAAGTTATCAGTCACTGATTGGATCGCATCTACCCAAGAGTCCCGAATTAACTCGGTTGGCGCAGAAAAAATAATTTTTCGACGGTGCTTGTGAATTGGTGGTTTGGAATGTACTGATGGTATGTCATCAAGCTGTTCTGGGGGAACACGTTCGTGTTGAGCTTTGGCGGAGTCGAGTCGACTTTTGTAAACAACAGTGACTGAGAACAGAGTATCTGCGCAATTCGATGGAACTACGTGGTCACAGTTTTCCGAAATTACAACTGGAGATCCATTTACTTTGTTGGGTACTAGTGATTGAAGTTGTGTTTCGGATTCTTTTTCAATTATCACGTTGTGAAGGGGAATGATAGCGTGAATCTGGAAATGAAAAATCAAATATTTGTCTGAAACTACAGGTTTAATTAAGTACAAACATTAGTTGTGATTACTGCGTATCTGCGCTTGAAATGAAGTTGGGCGATAAAACACTTCGTCTGACCTTAAACACAATCAGAACAACGCGGACCTATTGCATCTTCATGATGCTGATGCAAAGCGATGGACAAGAAGTTTACGAACACGTCATCTTTCGGCCCCCAACTTACCTTCACCTATAACAGCACCCTAACAAGATGAGAATACTTCATACGAATACCATCTGGACGATGAGCTATGACGAGCAGCTGTAATCTTGTGCCGGATAGTAAATTGCTGGGCTTTTAAACCAGGTGTATCTAGGTAAGCTGTTTCAAGATGGTGAACGGCCGTGTGAATATCTAGGATTTCAGCGCTAATGCGCAAAGTTTTTTACCAGTTTGATGCTAACGTTTTGATGCCAAGTGTGAAATGGTTATTCCCAGTTAACTGATTTCCCGAAAACAAAGAACACGTGCGATTCACGAATTACTCATTTGAACTCAACTTTGGTTTGACTGAAGGCTCAAATGTTTAAGATATTCTTCAAATTGGTGTGCTGCACCATGGTGGGATCATATTCCGACTGGTACGATTTTCGAAAAGTTGCAGGAGAATAGAACAAATGAGAGATTCAGCTGGTGAATCTTCCGTTGCAACCAAATTGTGGTGCAAACGAGTACTTTGCGTATTCCGTACAATTTGTATTCTAGTAGGATGTGCGGTTGACGGAAACTCGGGGACTCCGGCTAACAGATGAGCCCCACAAAGTGTGAAAACTGTCCTGGGCTGTCGAAGAGCTTGCAGCAACCTCATGAGTGATGTTTCGTCAGCACAAGGTGCAATTCTGACCATATATGGCGCAGACTAGTTCCGTACGGCGTTTGAGGTATACATGAAGTTTCGGAATATCCCACACATCTTATTCACTCGCATTGCGTTTATCACATCCTCAACCGGATGTACTTGGTAGATGTACAGGCGCTCATCATTTTCAAGTGCTCGTACTAGTCAGAGAGCAGAGCAAAAGAGTAATATTTTGCGCACCTTTTAGTTTCTGTGTTCGTGAACATTGATGCTAAAGTCCTGTCCTAACACAGAAGAATAGGCCATAGTGAGCGTACGAACAAATTTGTTTCGTTTGATTGTCAGGGCTATCGGGATACAGCATCTTTCTGCCTAACAAGACACATCTCCTGGAGGGCACCTGGCCATCACTATGGACACTGCCCCACCAGGCACACTGTTCCGCTAGCTCTATCCAGCCATTTGTGGGTATACATCAAAGAAGTACCATCTTGTTTTCTGTGTCGGCCCATATACAACGAGAAATATATTTCTAGAAGGTAGCCAAACCCGGGTTGGGATATGTCGTCTCTGGAACAAAGCACACACTAGAAGTTTAGAGTTCTTGGTTAAGGAATCAAAGTTAGCCCCTAATATTAATCAAAACTGCTTTCGATCCAGACATCATCCTTTTTACGGGTGCGGTGAGCCTGAATGTAAGGGTAAAAGTGCACTTTCCTGACTCCGCAACAACTCAGTGCACTCGTTTGCAAGGAACATACAAAAGTAAGGGAGGTACAGACGAATTCGAGCGTCGAAATGCATTAGAGTCAATCTTACTTCCTTGGCCTTCAAATGAGGAAGGGGTATTAAGAACGTATCATACAATATTACTGAATAATTTCAAACTTTGTCCGTTGCTGTGGGAATTCAAAGGAATTCCTACGGTGTAGCTAAGATAACTGAAAGATACACAAACTAAGTGAACTTCAAACAACGGAAATCGGAGACTTTATGCCATCAAACACATCGACCGTTGAAGAGCAGTAGAAGAGCATCTCTTATGGATACTAATGCTTGAACAGACTGCTGCAAAAAAACAAAGGAATGATCATTCATCTGCAATATCTTTTCAGTGACCAGCTGCCAAGACGCCCGGGGAAGCACGACGGCTGAGATATTTTCGGGTTACCCGAACCTAGATAGAATCAGCGGAGATGCAGAGGTTGGATTCGAACGACGGACTTTCTGGTCAGTTAGTTCGTGTCTTAACCACTGAGCTATTTCCTTCTCTGATACAAATACTAGTGCATACCAAACTGTGCGAACATTCGAATGTAACAACAGTCCTATATATAAAACACAATATCAAATTCTGCACAAAGACAACTCTTAGCAGCCTGATTGTTTTTTTACTGCGCAGCTATCCACAGTTGTGACTTTGAATAGGTACTAAGACCTGTGTTGAAGCCATATACGAAGTTCGTTTAAAACGCACCTACGAACTATAGGGACAGATTCAGTAGGGTCTCCACTGTAATGTCTGCGAATTTACCTAGTCAGGCGTCCAAGTATAGAGCAAGATTGACGAAAGTTCACGGAATAGACTCATCTGACGAACGTCAAAAGAGGGTGGAACCGATAGTGGACAGCTCAGAAATCCCGATCTAACTTAGTTATTATGACCATTACTTCCAAATGGGAAAATTTTTCATCCGGATGGAGGCCCTGAATGGCGCAAGTAGAAAAGCGACAGGTTTTCTACTTCTAAGTACATGGGCTCACTCACGTCTCCTACTCGAAACAGGAATAACTGCTCCTGTTGTCTCTATCAAAAACCGTGTTAGGTTACTAAGGTTACCACTGGAAGCACTTACCTTAAGACAAATTTGTGGAAGACCATGTATGCGACTTGCGTACAACAAACAATCTCCAATGAGGAACACCATGCGAGGTTGAAATCCACGTCTAGAATACTTTCTCAGCCATCCGAATTGATGCAGCTGTGGCAGTTGCGTCAATACATGGGAAAGTTCATCGAAACCTAAGAGACTCTCGCAAGATTTCAGTATATTTGGTTTCATACAGGTTTCAGGCTCGTTTGGAGTCTTGTAAATCCCAAGAAAGCGGTTCATCGGAAGAATCCAACGTGACATTTGCAACATCATTGCGAGTTGTTCTGTCTGTTGGTAGACTGGATAAGTTGTACGTGCTGCCTGTACAAACTGAGTGAATGCAGCTGAAATGGAAGATTAAAGCAAATGGGTGAGCTTTTAAACGGCGGTTTGGGCCCAAAAAATACTTTGAGTGGTAACGTATTAGTTATTTCAGGTACAGAATGTAGCAATGGCTATAAGTCGACTAGAGTTATGCTTCTTCAGGAGTGTTGTACATGGAAGGTCTAGATGGAATACCCAGATGTCACGGCCGAGTTCGTATATAAATTAAACAGATGGCGAGATTTCATTCGTGTAGGATCCTGTGGTCTGGTGGAATTCATCTAGTTTAATCACTCCGCAAATATGTGGTTTCGTGAAGGTGGCTGAAGTAGCGATGCTAGTAAATAAAACGATATTGTTCAGCTATTGTGTATAGCTGCTCTGCAAGCCGAAGGAGCCATGAAAATCAAGATGCCATCATATCGCTGAGGTTTGATCAGGAGCATTTTAGAGACGAAGTGAGATTAGAATGACAAAATTTCCGATCAGTCGCTTCAAGCGTTCATCCCTGAGCAGTCTGGAGCCACAATGCCGAATAGGTACGTGCAAACTACCGACGGATCTGGTGGTAAGACCAGTGAATCGACGAGGATCTTCCACTCTGTTCGCGCCACAGTTTCCTACTTGAAGCTTGAGTACTTCCCAGAGCCAAACATTTCAGTGAGTATCTGAGTAGACTGCATCCGGATCAGTATGCTCTGGAGATTCCTGTTTACTGTCAGCCATTTCTTATGTTTAAATCTTTACAAAACCTATCACGATTCTAACTTTCTCTGAATGTTCCAAAAATTTTCCCAGTTGAACGGGAATTATGAATTCCAGTAAGCTTATTTATTTGTGAAAAAACTGAGATACTAACAAAAAAGGCATACCGTTTACACTACTTCAACAGATGGAGACAGAATGTCTACCTATTAGTGTTAAAACTACTGATTCGGTAATTTGTGAACTCTCAGTGGGATCCTGCAATCCAAGCAGACGCAATCGAGACATACAACTGTTATCGGTATCACAAGCACCTAAACCTGGGATGCACTGTTCAGCCTCGGATAGGCTCTTGAATATTTATCATGAAAAATTTGCAATCCTGCCAGGAAGTGTAAGCAGATGTATCGGGAAACCTACGCCAAATCCAAATGCTTACCTCTGCAGGCAACTGAATCTGGATGCTGTGGGGAATATTGGCCCAAAAGTCCACCAAGCTGCACGCAGTATTTACGCAAATGACGACCCGGTCGGAGAAAGTAGGTAAGCAGTGGCAAAGTGCATGCCCGATGAGACTCGATACCATGCCATAGTTCACGAACAGAAGACTGGTTTTGGTGACCATCGGAGGAAGGAGAAGAGCAGGTTTCAATGAATGCTTGATCAGTAGGTTCTACTACAGAAGTGACGGAACCTGTGATGTGTTGTTCTGTTCCCTTCAGTTGCTGTGTGTCCGTGTAACTCAAGGATGAGCCGAGGGAGGTGTGTAGAAAGTCCGCATAGCCCAGCAACCAAAGCTCTGCTAGCAGCTCCGAACAGTTGTTGAGCCATATGTTGTATAGCTAACAAGAAAAATGGAGACAATATGAGGTTGTCGATTTGTTCATTTTGAAACAAACAGTATTTTGGCGCGACTTCAGCTGGGTTATCTGTCCAACGCGATTTGTGCGACAGTGATTAAGAAGGTACTGTTTGTTTGAGAAAGTGAATTTCCAGTAAGTCACTCCGATAAATACAGGGTTCGGGTACAAATCGAACAACTGCTTTGCATGTTCCTGTCTTTTAAACTATGATTCAGGGGTGTCATGACCAATAACCATTTCACTTGTTGCTCCCTAATGTAATTGTTAGTGGAAAGTAGTCAATCTGTATGTGCCAAATGAGCATAGCTAAAATATTCATGACAGCGGAGGATAACTAATAAACTTGAGTGACGCAATAGCCCTTCTGGAAGGGTGAATCGATGCTTTAAAAAATTCCAGTGGGGTACATCCTCTGTAAAGTTCAGTAGCCTACTATTAACTTCTGGAACACTGACTGCGATACAGAGACCACATCTGAAGATGGCCGACGTGTATCCACGTCGTTGCTGTTCGGAGAACCCCCGGCCAAGTAGGTTACTTGGTGCAGTTTTTCTCCAAACGCTCACTGAAGAGCCTGAGTCAGTACACTGGGAATGCAGTCATCCTTACGGAGAAACAGCAAAAGTGAGATGTAAGGTTGTGAATAGTTTGAAAAGAGGGCTTTACCAACCCTCCACGAAGATTATGGTCAGGCCAGATCCGAGCATAGATTAAATTCGTCTGCAAATTTGTAAACGCACCATTGGTATTGGTCTTACAGAAATATTATTCGGGAAGAAAATATGACCATGCTGCTGGACACTATATATGTATATATATAAAACAATAAAGTTGAGACAGGGTACAGCAAATCCTGCCGGAAATGGCCGTCTTGCAACATGTAAGACGTACAGAGCAGGCCTGGTTGCCTGACACTGTTTCACAGGAAACATTAATGAATTCACAGGCACGGAACAATTATGATTATACCCATTTAATTAAAAAGCGGAGGCCTTTTTAACTCCATCATTAGAGTCATCAACAAGATGTCTTTTAGTCACTAAACCCAAAAGACAGCTTGAACTTTAATATATCCTCGAGTGCATGCAAACGTTTGATAGCTAATCGAGTGAACGTCAGCAGTGCAGTTGTTTTTGCCCACAGTGTTTGTGTTCGTATGTTTTGTTGGTAATGCAACACTGTTGCACTGAGGTCCGCGAATTCACCGTTGTTTGTTCGTTTAAAATGAGGTTGGAAACATTCATCCAGTTATTCGAGTGAGGGTTTTACTAGTGGGAGCCAAATCAATCAATTCGACATCAAAGGTAACTATTTAAAGCACAGAGTGAGATCCACCCAATAGACCAATCAATCGACTAACAATTTTGGCTAATTTCAAGCATAAATTTACCAATAAGATACTAAAAAAGACTCCGGCAAATTGATTAAAGGCCTCTGTCATATTCCCCCTCACAAACTAGTTAAGTGCGAACATAATATGGACAAGTTACAAGTAACAGTGCACTCAATCATGCTCGCTATCAGAGGGGAGATTTCGCAATATAACCACCAAGCTCCATGAACAAGTAAGCAAGTAAGTGGTTTGCCGTATTAATAGAACATTTATGCCAACATTCCTCACCAATTTCGAGTTGCCGCATGAGGAAGAAACTAATGAACGCCCACTCTTACCAGAAAGAGCACGCTCATTCATGTTAACATGGTTGCTGACCGATCTATGGAGTTTGATTCATAGTCCCAAATGACGCGAGCCTTGAATAACCGTTCCAATATGCTATTTCCAGGATACAGGTCAGTATGTTTTGGCCCAGTCCAACGGTCTACTTGATACTGATCAATATTGTTCTGGATGGCAAATTTACTCTGTCAGTTCGCGCATCATCCCTTTTGGGATGTAGCCTAAACGGAATTATGCATGCATAAGACATCTTATATGTTAGTGGAAAACATTCAGATGAGGCATGATTGGGAGGGCAGCAGTCATGAAGTCCACAGGATGCAAGAGGGAGGCGTTGTTATCAAGCTGTTTAAACCTGAACGCAAGTAACACAGTTGTTACCTAATTTGTCTTGTAGTCGAAGCGTACGGCCCTTGGTCAAGAATATGAGCCATTTCCTTTCCCATCCCACCTTGATTTCCAGTGAACTGTTTCAGATCCTTGACAATCAATGAAAGCTTTTCAAAACCACAAAAATTTCAAGTTGCATGATTTTTTCCTGTTGACGTTGAATTAGGGCACCATCTGGCCATCCTTCGATTCGTGCCTTGCTTGGTATTAGTTAGTGCTACGAGATAAAAAAACTCGAAACGGGCAACTGACTAACCTCAATCATATCCGAATACTGTGCGAGAATAGATCCGATATACATGGGAGGGGATTGATGCAAATCGCTGGTTCTTGTGGCAACCGGAATACCTTTGGCGGATTTAAGCTTGGTGTCATCGGTACTTCCTAGAGATCCTTGTCTGGATATCCGGGAGCTGGAAGTTGAACCCGAACTAATCGTAGCTCCGACAGGGTTTTCGTCTGGCACCACGGAGATCCCGTGCACTGCAAAATTGAGACCACATACATGATCAGTATGCTCACTGACTCGCTAGGTTTATCTTACAGCACTGGCGACGTACTGATAAATTAGGTAAGTCCCTATTGCTCGATCATCCTTTACGACTGTCAAGGTTGTAAATGAACTTGAAACTAGCATATTTTTTCACAATGTTCTAGTGCACAGCAGTCTGTTTTAGACTAACCAGTGCGCATCGTAGATCTGTGACTGCATTTGCCAGTCCACTTGAGAACTTTACACAGTTTCAATTACACAAAAAGATTTTACTTACTCGGGTCGAGATTTTCAATAGAGCTGCCTCCATGACTGTTCGTAATCAGCTCCGTCAGTTTCAGTGATTTCGGACGGTTTCCTAATTGTTCCCATCGGTTACAGATTGTAGTGATAGTGCTCTCCAAGTGAGAGTGTCGGTCAATTAGGGGATTTAACAATGGTAAAACGCGTCGATTCATCCAGCTGATATACCTCGTGCACTGAGCTGTTTCGGCCATGCTGAGAGTAGTCTTTAAAACAAAACAAGTGATATTTAGTTACCGCTATCAGCTACGGGTACCAATACGGCTTGTGAACCAAGATAAATCGGATGAGCAAGAAAGCGACAAACGAATGTTGACCTACTGCCTATGTTACTGTGGTTTTAAAGTTGGCCGAACGTGAGATGTTATCTTAACTTATTACTGACGAGATAGTTCAGTAAACACGACAGTTTGCATACGAGCCACTCCACCTTTGAGAGTCATTGTCGAAGTCTGTTGCCTCAGTATCCCATCGATGAACGTAAAGTACACTTACTGGTCCAGTTTCTGCATTGCTGTTTAGCTAACTCAATCCGGTTTACATGTCTTCACTACTACCAACTAAAACGGGCATTTTACAGGGCATCCTCGGTCGTTCGGACCACGTAAATCCATTAACAGAATCCATTAACAAATCCATTAACAGATTGTGACTATAACGAATCAAAATTCACACGGAAACACAAACCGTGTAGGGCTACCTTGATAGCTGGCCTTGAGAGATTTTTTTGTTGTTTCGGAATTCGAAATCTTAACCCGAAGTGTTATTCCATTTCTCGCCTGGAGTAAGTGTAGCCAAGACCTTTTTGACAGCTGGCCATTGTTCAAGGTTGATAACGATCGTCTTCCAGTTTCACACAATTAAAGACCTCATATGACGACTACACCTCTTTCAGATCGTTTTCTTCCCATCGAACTTAATGTCTAGTGATACCAGCCCATCTTGAGAAGACTTACTGTCCTGTAGTTAAGCTCACTATCGCTTTATATAGAAAAATGTCCCGGAAGGCGAACACGTTTTCGCTCCACTTTATACAAGGATACACACCTTCACACGATCCACGTACAAACGTTTAGCAGCGCTAAGTACGGCGTACCGGTATTCTGTGGCTTCACACAAGGATAAGCATCCAGCTAACTCTGAATCACTGCGTGATATATTCCTATCCTGACTCTCAGTCTAGTTTTCCTAATTTAGACAACGTCTTACCACTTCGACGGTCATACACCTATTTTTGCATCTGATAAGAATTCGTGTGTTGAACATTCACCTCACTGGCTGCGTGGTAGGTCACGATAAACAAGCAATTCAGAATGGGACAATTGACTTAGGCTTACACGAACATTATAACTTATTTCAGTGTAGGATGGAATTTTAGAGCGCCATCAGTCCTGACTAGCTTTGAAGCGCAAAGGTATCCACAAAAAATGGGAAAGCTTTGTTCAACCAATCTTAGCGAATTCGCCTGCCAAACGGAAAAACTGTGGCAACCTGATTCGCCATTGTGGTCAACTATCAACCAAATCTTCGACATCCTTCATTATGCAGGCACCGACTGTTATGATAACTTTGCCCCTAATATTCCTCAGCAACGCATGAAAGAAACAAGCAAGAAAACACCTGTTTCAAACACACCTTTTGACCCCCTAATTCGAGGGCACAAACCCTCACACAGTGATCCACCTCTAGTACTTTCGAAGAAACAGTCAACTCGGTCATTTTGGAAAGGCTGGGGGATGAATAGCTGACGTTTGGGTGTGCCAGTCATGCAATCGTATCCATTAAAAAAGACGTTTGATAGGTCAAGACTTTAAGGTTGGATATACTGAGATAAGACGTTCACTGCAAGGTGATAGGCCTTAGTACTAACATACGGAAGCAAAATCAGGTCAGCTGCATTTCACCGAGTCCTACAATGTGATACCAGTTGAGCGCACTGAGTAATCAGCCTAAATAAGACCGGTTGTAAGTCCCGTAGGAACGCATTGCTCTCATCCGTGTATACACACCACATTATGAATATCACTCACAATAAACAACGAATCTTATTCTTAATGTATCAGGCAGAAACGTAATCGGTTGTTGTGTAGTTGCCCTGGAAACTACCTTCTACCCAACCTAATGAGCGGACTTAAACCAGGAGAAAACAAACTTGATTCAATAACAGTATCAGAGGAACTTTTGACCAGCGAGCGAATCTTAACTTTCACCCAAGTTTAATATGTAAACTGAGTTGTGATCACGTCTGGGTTCATGTCTTGTTTTCATCCAGGGAGCACCAAATAGCAGTTTATTTCAAGACGTTGGTGTATACACCACTGTTACTCGCCATAGACTTCAACCTTCAAAATGGAATGGTTTTACTCAGCCGTGCATAGTGCCGTTCAGCAGATATCACCGTCACATAACATATTGGTTACATATTTTCCCTTCTGATGGTTACTCGCGCGGGGAACAGTTACAACCAAATGAGAAACGATTGTACCTCCAATTCCAACGATGAACAGAATACACTTGTGCGATAGTTAATGAAGATTGTACGAGGCTTAACTGGACGCCTATTTCTGTAAAAATTGATTAAAAAATATTCCCTAGGTCGCGTAAATTCGAGTTGACTCTCAAAGAAAAATTCCCAAGTACGACACCATCTGATCCGTTCGTCTCACCTAGACATTTGTTCCTGTTTTGATAAATTGGCACCTGAAACATAGGATTACTTACCTCGGCCAAAAAGTGCATTTCTCTATTGTAAATCATTTCAGACTGCAGGAGTGACTTGACCGCCTGAAGCGTAAGCGAGTCTCCATACGGATACTATTAGGAAGATAAACCACAACGAGATCTTTACGACTGGGAGGACCTCTCGAGCAATTTGGTTCCACTAATAGAAAACATTTAAAGTATCAGATTAAAACATCATGCATCAGAGAATCATGTCATGAATGGCCAAGTTTAGTTAAAAGTCAAAATTTGCCTGTTTACATCCGTGAATTGGAAAGCAAAAACCAAGCGGTGCGCTTCATCGTTTAAGGTGATAATGACGAGAAAACCCAACTGTTTGCACAAATTCAATCACAGATTGAATGACCACTGTGGTAGCCATTCTCACCTGGTATATATTAGTTTTCCTGTTGAGGATCTTGATATTAACTTCACCTTGATGTACAAATCGCAGTCGAGCAGATGGATTTCACTTCACTAGTGACTGAAAGATTCGAGGCCTTCAAAGCGAACTTTGCAATGCTCAATCTCAAAAAAATACAAGCTCATCAAATGAGAGCTCCAGTAATGAAACTGCACATTCTTTTAGGTGGTTTTTTCAGTCCTTTACATAATTGCGGCGAGAAAACTGAACTTAAAACTGTGCCACTTTACAAAATGGAGCACTTAAATTTCGAACCCCACTGTTAACTTACTAAGTGCATAGGGTTAGAACTCTATTCAAGGATACTAGGCTGCACTATGTTAGCTCAGCAAACTGATTGGTTTGCGAAAAATCGACGAAAATGACTTGATAGAGTTCTGGACTATACCTGTGTGCAGTACTGAACTCAGTAATATTGATCTAGAGCATCGTGCGGAATATCGCATGCGTTCTGCACAAGTTCGACCGTGCCTGTGCAGCTAACCGGATGCATGCATATACCATCCAACGAGTACGAAATGTCCCGACGTCGTATGTTTATCGTGGAAGCACACAGTTTGCACGGATAGTGCATGCTGAACCCCAATCCAAAACCATGATCAACGAAACCAGCTAACATTGGAGGCGTTCGTCCTGTATACCGTATATGTGTAAACCGACAGAACCCTTACATAGTGGTCCTTCATTAAAAACTAATAAAAGCCAAAAGCGATGAGTTTTCATCAAAGCCTTGAGCAGCGTTGTATTCTTATGAGTAGGGGGGCGAGATGGTCCAAGTGGTTAGAGCGCGAATTTACTGACCGGAAGGTTCGCGGTTCGAATCCGACCTCCGCCACTCGACTTCCCCTGTCTAGGCTTGGGCAACTTGAAACTCATCATCATCAATACAACCTGTGCGGAGTATGTATGAGACTAACTGCCAGTAGCCAGTCAGATGCTTCACGGCGGAATGTAACATTGAAACTTCCAACGTTCACCGCTATTGTAAACATTCTCAGATCAATTGATCTGCATCCGCCAATGAGTGTTTTTGAGCTGGGTTCCATTTAAATTGCATTACTTTCGAAATTCTGTATATCATGGTGGACCAGAACGTTCTGACATAATTAAGATTATTCCGTATGAATATGAGGGCGTAAATGTTTGAAAAATGACCCGTCGGCCAAATGGACTGAAAGAAAGCACAAAACCTGAATAAATTAAATGAAACTAGCTCACCTGCGATGTACGTGCAAAAGAATCACCGTCCTTTGGTTGAGTAGTTGTCGGCTGACCGCGTGTTCGTCGAGGCCGCTTTTTGGTTGGTCTGGACCTTTTGACTTGTTGTGCATCTGAGTTGACGTACGCCTGTCCTCGTCGCGTACGAATGACATCAGAAGCAGACCTTGCTCGGGACAGCTGCATTTTAGACAGCGAACTCGGACCAAAAGGTGAACTGCCATCTTCCTCTGAAGAATTTTCTGAGGGGCCCCAGTATCCACGCCCGAGTTGTTTTAGACTAACACAACTTTTAACTGACGCAGCTGCATACTGCTCGCTGACCACCGCAGATTTGGCTATGGAGTCGTCATCCACGTCCGAGTCGCCGCTGAAGATTCCGGTTAGCATTGAAATTGCCCCAAGAGAAAGGGCATCTGCAAGACTTTCCGGTACTTCAGCGTCTACCCCCGTAGCCGTCGATGACAACTGGAACACACTCGAAGATATATCACTTTCCAACTTTTGGTCGTCCCCGATACTATGAAACTGTGAATTTGTTTGGACCAGAGGAGTTTGACCAGCATCGTTCTCGTGCTGTGTGGAGAAAGTACGCTGGGGTTAAAGCGATTTAAAATGGCCCTGTACATATACAAGCGTAGCAATCAACAAAAGCAATACAACAAAACAAAAAACAACACCTCTATATTGCGGTTCTTATGCCACAGTCCTTCCGTGACTGAATCTAACCAACTACAAGTCAGAAAAACAGAGACGTTTTTCACCATTCATTGAGTATCGTTAGTGCGTATGACGCTCCCCAAGAGGATCACCTTGTGGGGATGATGATATGGGCTCCAAATGATCGATCAAACAATATTCTCTTACAAGGAATGGGGTCTGTAGGATAGAGAAACAGCTGTTTCGCCTCACTTCAAATATTCAGTTACCGAAATTAAAAACAACAAAATGGTTGTTTTCCAACTGTCTCATAAGGGAGCACTTAATTAAAATCCCTGGAATCCGTTAACTTTTCTCCGTGATAGTACCAATCATGCCCCACAAAGTCACGTTTTTGTTAGACAGGGAGTTACACAATGTGCAGTATTTTGCACTTTCATCCATCCGAATTTTCAGTCTTCAGTGAACATTTCCCACTGGAAGTCATGCCATCCCGTTTCTTCCTCAGTATCTACAACATAAACCACCGACTTCGGCTACTCACACGCAACATGCGTCATTGGTGTTTTCAGATACAATTCAGGGCTGCAGTATATCCGCTTTAGGGCTGTGTTTACTCATTATTCAGTAAACTGACAAAATCGATGGACGTGCAGGTATTTCAACAGTGAAATCTCCTCTTAATTCGATCAGATTGACATGTTGCAAGTTCTTAGATTACTTTTAGATGAACGCAACCAATTTTCTTCCACTTAATAACGGTGGCATATGAAGGTCTTTGAAATCCTAATACTGGAAGACATTTCTCCTAAAAGTCGCTAGAATTCGTTCACTTGTATTAGAATTAGAATTACAAATAAGCCCAACGTAGCTCATCCACCCTAAGTGTATGGGGCATAATGGTCTAAGAATATTCTGAAGGATACCGTAAGTAATCAACTACCCTACCCTAGTGAGCCTCATCGCTGCGTATTAGCGGTGCCGACGAATTCGTTAGCGTCAATATGGTAAAGTAAAATATGAGGCCTATAGGCCGAAGAACCTGGTTCTGTAAACAAACCACGTGGGAAAAACGGAAGAACACAGTCGGTCTCCTCTAGGATTTTGGTACACCTATCTTCAAATAAGATTACTGTATGTCTGAAAGAATGTAGACTCGAACGCTACCTAGGTTTCGTATGTATTAGGAACTCGGTGAATACTGTGGGCTGCCGGAAACTGCTTTTGTCCTGCATTTTATAGCATATTATAGTGTGTTGAAAGTCCAATAAAGATTTGAGGATAACGGTCGGTTATTTGCAGTCGTCTTTCAAGTGTTTGGACTGGAGTAAAGCAAGTGCATTCTGTTGAAGTAAAAGTTTTAGCTTCCGTTTCTGCACTTTCTCTGGTTTTAATCTAAAGGATAGAGATAAACCCAACCGCCACGAAATGAGATTAACAGAAGCGCGGGCGACCCACTCAACAGAGCAACACTTTTTTGCCGAGCAGCCTTTCTACAGCGATTAATGATATCGAAGAGAGGTGCTCTAGAAGGACGACCTTGAACAGGACCATATTCAGTGATGTCTGACAAGTGAAATGTAACCTGCTATGACATCTCAGTATAGTTCCTCATTTCAGAGGGTGAGCAGTTTAGCCAGTGTTGGACAGAGCGGTTTCATTCCGCTGTTATGGCAGTGAAAAAGAGGCGCTTATTCTTTTTCCTCAAAAGAACTTGAGGAGATTGGCAAAAGGTGGTCATTATGGATGGATGTCGATTACGGAGGTGTTTGGTGAGGATGGATCCTACTGAATCTCAAAACACAATCAACCAATCAATCATCTATTTAACACATTTATAAAATAGCACTGTCATAGACCGAAGAGCCGTTCAAGGCATTCCGCCCGGAGGTTTCGAAAGAGAATGCAACATTCATCCAATGGGTTTACGTGGTGTGACATGCTGAACGCTCTAAAATCTGGAATTAAGAATGGATCACTTCGGACAACGCCAGATAAGGACAGAATGATTGTGCCTGTCCCACAAAGCATCCCACTAGTCTCATTATAACTGGCTGAGCCGTGCTTATGATACATTAGAACCAAACAGTTCAGTTGTCATCAAAACACCAACATGTACTCACGAGATAACCATTGTGGTGGGTGTTGTTACTGTTCAAAAACGCTTGAAATAATTTACTTATACATGCGCTTCCATCGGCTGTATATATCGAAACATTGCGCGTTAACATGTACTTGCCAAACCAGATCCAAGAAGGGGTGTATTTCGTTTTGCTCCCTCTTAGTTTGCTTTGAGGCTGTTTACTACGATTTTCATTGAGGGGGGAAAGACTTAGAGTTGGGAACAGAATGATGTTTTAAACGTCTAGGTTTTCCCCGAACGGATTAAACTCATGCTCGACGATCGAAAGAAAAAGGCAAGCGAGCAAACAGAAAAAACACGTTTGGATAAAATTTTAGTCGCAAGTGTCCAGAGCTTTGTTGGTTCTATACTCTGGGTGGAGCACCATAGCTCATGTAGGAGAAAAGAGAACGACATTTACAATCTAATAAACAAAATCGTTTTTCTGGGTGAAACTCACGCCGATTTGCCGTAATCCATCGCTTATCACGCTCGACACCAATATTGAAGCACATTCGACTTCAGCAACACCCGTCGCGGACTGAAACTCGACCGATACATTAAACGGTGATGCTGGCAGGAATTCTGCATGAATTTCAGGTGAATCTCTTCCTTCCGCATAAGTTTCCTTTCTTCAATCGAGGGTTGAAAAGACAGGAGAAAAGCCATAATAATATAGATGCGTAAGATCAATTCTACGGGAGTTTCAGATGGAGTACGTGTTTTTTCACAATCAGAAGACGACATTATGCCATTCACACATCAAAAACTGAAATTTGACTATTTACAGGGTTAACTTCAACCCAAGGTAAGTGAAGCGAAACGGATGCAGAGAGACACAGGTGACGTTGGCATGGAGAAGCTTCTTGGGCTATGCAGTGATCTAGGACACAGCTTACTTCCTTGCTGTGAAGTTTTTTCGAAGCCAGCTGTCCAATTTCTTCGTGGGCATATGCCAGGAGGAAGGCATCAAACTGCTACATTTTTGGTTAGCTTGGTTAACGTCGCCCGATAAATTTTCTCTGAGTTAAACCTAACCACCCAAACTAATGTGCCTTCCGTTTGTGACCACTTGGTATTTCTGACGAAAAACCTCTCAGTTCCTTCTCACTGTAAAACGTGACAGTAATACTTTGTACTCTAAAGTGCAAAAATCACACAAATGAGGCAGTAAAGTTGGCTAGGTTACTTTTCATTTTACGCTTTTCGCTACAGAAATCAGTCCACCATTATTTCTCTATGTAATCTTCACAATGAAGCCGACATGAAAGTGAGATTTCTGCGTGTGTAACCAAGTAGAACCATCCCATGAGTTAATGATAAATCGGCGCGTTCTGCGTTAATGTTTGATCATGGATGTCTGCGCGTGTCAAACACACCGTCTCCTGCTAAATCAGGGTTTCGAATGTGTGGTCACCACGATGGCTCGTCTAGAACTGGATAACTTATGCGAACCTCAGCTCTCACGCTTCCGGTTGATCATCTGGCAATCTGGTATCGGAAAATCCAGAGCTCTAGCCTCATAACAACAAAAGCGGCTTGGAGTAAGAATGCAAAGAACTCAACATAAATTCTGTGTATCTAGTGTGAGAACTCAAATAATCTAACTTCATGAGCAAGAAGCTATTGTTTCGCTTATTCCGTTGTTCCAAAGACCAACATCATCGTAACGTTGAGTGGCAGTTACATGTATGTTATGTCTGTGCTGTAAACATCAGCATTGCCCTTGAATTCTTCGATGTGCGTGTGTGTACTGATATTCCGTATTATTTGTTCACTCGAATTGTTCAATATAGTGTTGTCTCTTTCCTCGGAGTCACTGAACGTTACCAGCGATTGCGGCTTAAGAAATCGCCCGTTCCCGTGGTTTCATTGGCAGTGTATGATCAAAGCAAGAACAGCTGTCGGTTGGTTCGCAGCTTGCGGCCGTGTAAGACTTTCGTGAAAACACTCATACACGAACGGTAGGTTAGTATTTCACTCAAATCTCTGATCCTTCATCTATCTGACTGCACACTTTGCGGGTTGTACCCAAAACCATGTTTTTGGATACGGGCTGACAAGCATAGGTTGCCTCGCAGTTCATCTCCTGTTTTCCGAAGATTTTGGCAAGTCATTAGCGGGAAAACTTCAAAAACGGACCCGAGAGAAGTCAGGACTGTTGGCAATGGCTCCATCAGACAGAAGCTTACCCAACTGGGTACACCAACTTGTCTTCTGATTTAATACCATCGTAGAAACCATTAGTTTCAGCGGCAAAAGCTCCCAACCTGTCAGATAGATTATCCAATGAAGCAGATCTGGAGGACACATCCTGAAATCCTGAAACCCGTGCGTCAGTGGAATCGGGTGCATTCACGAGGTCGCTTTGGAAAGAAATTCGCCGTGAAGAACCAAAGTCGGATTGCTCAGTAGAATCCAACCTCACTGTCAGATGTGGAGACGATATACTTGCACACATATGCAGTGGAGTCTAGGAAGAACAGAAATGAAAAAACCCCAGATTACGAACAGGTTCTGAAAAATCCTAATCTAGGTACTGCTCTTTGAAACCATAAAAGGTGATTTTTGCTTCATCGTTCAACAATAAATAACAGCAATCATCATGATCACTCTTGCTGGAATTGCAGCATGCCTTATGTAACCTGATATAAAACGTAGCTCCTACGTTGTGCCGCTCCTCCGTTAAGACTAACGGTAAGAAGTATACTATGTGAGCAGAGTCAAACCAAAAAAGTTGGCGAATCGACACTGTCACTGAAAAGGTTGTGTTCAAACTCAGGATACAAATACTCACCGGCTTCCATGCACTTGAAAGTGAAGGGCACGAAGAAGACTGATCCTCATCTGCGCTGTGATTGGTGGAGCTCATGGCTCCAGTGACAACGTCCCATGGACTTGATAGGTTTAAAACGGTGTTACTCCGGAGGGAGATTGGAGTTGGACACTCCGAGGAACACAGTGAGCACGATGATGATCCGGTCGGTTTTGTTGCAAGATTCTCCTGAATAGATGGCTGATTCTTGTCTGGAACGGTAGGTTTTTATAAAGAATGTATGAGAGAAATATAAAAAGGCACAGATGAATGCGCATGCATTGGACGGATCCGACGTTAAAACAAATTGCATGCTGGCAGGATATCAGACTACGAAATTTCGCACAAGCACCAATAAGGGAGTCGTTGTAAGAGTACGTGATGTATCTGAAACCTTGACATTGAGTACACAGGTCAACTGGATTTCATGAGCGAAAGATAGGTGCTTGTCAAGAATACAGTACAGCGACCTCCTACCGAGAAACTACTTCCCTGCAAAATTCCACGACAGTATGACCTATTGCACGTTACTAACTAAAAACATCATTTACCAAAAGAAGCTGAGTCAGAAATAACTTCATTCAATGGCGACGGTTAAACTTACAGCTAACCTACTTTTACACTAGAACGAAAGTAAACTACAGAAGAAAGAGAGATTGGGGAATACCCTGAATCACTGAATCCAGATTCTCAAAATGTTCAAACATAATAATGTACAAAACGAAACAAATGCGTAATAAGAGCAGAAATATCTCCTTAAGTCAATTTTGGCACGTTTTTCCTACAATATTCAGATAATCCGCTGTGAGAGGCAATTCAAGCAAATCTGGTATGGTGACATTTTGTGTGAAAACAATTAGGATGTTTGTCGCATTGTACCTAAAAGTCTTCAGGTCTTCAACTGAATGCCGTCACTTCATCATCACATTATAAGAATGTCTACACTTCATACAGAACAAGACAGACTTAGTGAATAAAACAGTGTTAAAGAAACTATTCAAGGTGACGATCGTCATCATACTGGACAGTAACATATGATCAGACAATGTATATATTCAAGCTCAGAAGTGAAAATGTGCTCGTTAGTCCTTGCAGGCTACCTAGTCAGGAGCAAGGGAAATCAGGTGAGCCTGAGTCAGAGAGTCATGAAGATGACATGGAGATCATTTCGACAGCATCAGTCTTCGTTTCTCATTGCCATGTCATGGCTTATCCCAGAGGACTCTCCCAACAAGATGCGAAAGTGAAGAACAGAGCTTCTCCAATGGACGGTGATTGGACGGTAGCGGCACATGAACCAAGGCTTCTCTGCTTCTCCAGAGATTTTGACCAGTCGAGAACTGGTCGCCACTAGACTGCAGACGACCGAGCTGCAGGGTCATAAGGTGTGTTTGCATTCGTAGCTTTTGTGGGAATGAATGCATTGCATAAGTAAACGTAGCGAACGCAGCTTCTAGACCAAAAATGATGTAAGTTAGGTGATATCAGGCGTGCCTTGTTGACGCGAGCATTGACTTCATCTGTCACCGTTAGATCAGGGGTTATACATTCGCCAAGATAGGTATGCTGGTCAGCAAAGACAAGCAATATCGGTCGGAAGTTTGGATAGAATCAGTTCAATTCAACTCATCAGCTATAAACCATGTACAATCAGCATATTGGTTCCATTGATAGATTCGATCGTCGGGAAGCGGGAGAGTTCGGGACGTGCAACCAACCCCAGGAGGCGAAAGCATGTTCAGTTTGTTCGGGAATCGGGTAGCTATGCGTTGAAGGCGATAGCTTTGATGCATGAGTGCCACTAACTGAGCGAATGGGTCATCTGTGCCAGTGTCGTTGAACACTGATGAGTTCAGTCATGGGGTCTCCATCCAGGAAGGCGAAAGTTGTCGACCCGACTAAATCTTCTGGTTATTGATTTCATACTTCGTTGCAAGGTTATTTACTGTTCACCAATCGGTCGCTTCCACTCAGCACAGGGTTGGGAGAAAGGATTTATACGGGGAGCACGGTCTACTGGCATAGGGAGTTCATGTCCTAACCAGCATAACCTACGAATCCTGAGTAATTCTTCTATTGCGGAAGAATTTCTCCCTAGGACCATCTGGCGTAACTCAGCGTTACTCATTTAATGTTCCCAGCGATGGTCAAAGGCCGACATATTTCGTATATCCTCTGCGCTTACGGTACACGTCTGTGATCCGTAAAGCAGTGTAGATCGCACTGCCGCAGTGCCAACGCTGCAGTTGACAGACAAATGAACTTAAAGTGCAGAAAAATAATCAGAGATGTTGCAATCGTAACATCATCAGATGCACTTCCGTCAGAGCTAATACAGCTATCGAGATACGGGAAGTTCTTCAGAAACCCAACGGTTTCTCATATTCAGTAGCTGTTCAGAGAAGCATGACCTACCACGTCGTGTCGGAAAATTCACCACTACATGACGGGATAATTGGTTAACACTAGCAACACCATTGCTGCAGAATTACGACACCTAATAAGCGGGATGCGTTGACCAGCCTTAATAAAGCGTGAAATGAAAGAGAGAATGACTGAACCCACCTGAAGGTGCTTGTTGATTCGTGTAACCTATGTTAATTGGCGACGCTCCTAACTTAGAAAGAGGAGGCCTTTCTGGATAAGGTTCATCCCAGGATGACCTCTCACGTCCACCGTTCAAACTTGGAGTTTCTGATCTTGGCAGAGTTAAGGGGACAAATCGATCAATGTGTCTTGGGACTAGACAGTGCGGAAGTCGTTTGCGTTTTCCGTGTTCGGTTTGGCCAATGGACGGAGTACTGAGCGCCCTGTCGACACTAAAACAAGAAAAAGGTATTGGTAAATGTGAACTATGACAGTTCCTCAGTAAATGTAGATAAGTCGAAGTCGTTCTCCGAAACGTTAGGTTAGGTTTCAAATGAGAGCCTTATCAACGCTGATACAGAAATATATATCCCCTAATTCGAAAAAACTTCGCAATACCTATAAACACGGGCTGAGGAAACTGGTTACGTGTTGACAGGACGATACGCGTGTACAAAAACGGTAGGCACCGTAGATAAACTTATTTCCATGTCAACTAAAAGATTTGGCTCCACCTACAGCGCAAGGAAAGAGGACATTGTGATTGGGTAAATGTGCGGTTTTATGACGGCAAACTGTAAACGAACTGGCACTAAGGTCATCCCATTAATCAATCTATCAATTCCGAATAAGCCAACTCCTGAGATTACGGCTGTGTGATTTTACGACCTGAAGAGAAATTACTGACAAGTCGTGTGTCCACTGCGACTAAATGAGAATTTTTTAGTATGTCAATCAAAATTTTTATTTACTGATGGCATTAAACACGATGTATTCCATTCCAAGATGGGAACGAAACACTGATAACACCACCATTAGCCAAAGATTGTACCATGTGGAACACGGGATGTGTTGTTCAGTCCACCAAGTGCTATGTGTTCACAGTACGGAAAAATTCCCGCAGCGAGTAATCATAAAGTATCTTTAGACCGGAACTAATGCACTTAGCCTTACTCAACTATTCCGATTTTAATTCACCACCTTATAGAGAATGATACAAACGGTCGAGAAGGACAATTCAACATGTCTGAAAGCCGCATTCTTTAAAATCTCAACTGGACATGTGACACGTAGCCACAGATGCTACCGATTGATCGCACTTACAGAAGCAAAACGTGCACATTAATTGCAGATTGCACTAGCGGAAATGCGGGATTTATTGCCTCACGTGTTTTCCCATGTTCTTCGCATCCATACGGGATATACATTTGTAGACAATGGTGGACGATAAATCACATACTGTATCTAATAGTATTCAGAGATAAAAAAACTATGATACACAAAATAAGACAGCAGGAAATTTCAAAAAAGCACACATGTGATAGAAACTGACTGTGAACCTTCAATGCAAATAAAAGGGTGTTTCACAATCGTTTAGTAGTACATATTACCGTGTTAATTCTCTGGTTCTAAGTCGACCCAGAGTTGGTGTGTTGTGGCCTGTATCGCCAGGCGACTGTGAAATCAAAGAGGTGAAAGACAGACGCAACAGTTGAAAATGGTCGTCGGACGCACTGTTGAAATGAGACAGCAGACGAGTGACCCCAGGCAGTCGAGATGGTCCGGTAGAGCAAGAATTGGCGTAGGGATTGTTATTGACTAACCAGTCGTGTTTCAAGGAATGAGACCTAGTCAGAAAAAAACGTTAGCAATATAGGTGAGGTACGATTTATCGTACTGGCCGCCGTGATACATCCCCTAATCTACGATAGTACATTGTGAAGTGGTTTTAAACTAACATATTCACAAGACAACAGAAAAAAATGTACTCCCAGACACCACCAGGCACTGCGTGGGATACCCATTCATCACATACAGTCGTGCTACATCTTGTGTCGCACGAACCCTGAAGTCACTCGTAGTCAGTGCAGGCCCGTTCGGTTACGAACGGCTACGAACGTGGCCCTAGTTTCTCGACTCGTGGGTTGTTCTGTGGAGAAAAAAGGCCTCTACGAGTCAAAAATTGAAATGGATACATCCTAATAAAGAAAGTCTGCCAAAAATTCTGAATACCAAGCCAGCTCTAATGCATTTCAGCAGTTTGGTTAGAACCGGCAAGATCTCTCTGAAACTCTTGAGGCCAGTGTTACATTTTCGATGCGCTCGTGATGGTTTGATCACCGATATCATTGATTGTTTGTTGAACACCAAAAAATCCGACCACACGAGGCCTTTTGTGCTCACGGGTGTCATGAGACTAGGGCAGAGAAACTGGGTAGTTTTAAACTGTTTCGCACAATATCACAGGCCTGAAGACTAGTCTGAATGACTGAACATCTAACTGGGTTTCAACCACCTCATGACAGCCTCGCGGACCCTTACTTGGATCTCGTGGTACAAGTGCTGTTAGCAAATTTGATCTCTCTCTCTCTCTCTGGTCTGGACCAACCGGGCGAAAACGAAAACCATGAGAAAACGCGAAGACGGGACCTCGAAACGAGATTCAACACCACACGTTCAGGTGCGGTCCAAAATGAAACGAGGACGCACACAGCCCAACAGGTCGCCTGTTCAGCCCACCATGCAAGCAGTTTGAATCATGATAGTTTGCCCGTCGAGGGCCTGTGTGTCATACACGCTGCCCCCAAAATTTCACACTCAGATGTGGACCCATGTTGTGTCGTGACATAGTCCCCTCTTAGTAAGTTCGTTGTAGGTATGCCCACTTTATCTACCCCTCATAGAATTTACCCTGCTGTGTGTTCCTATGGCAGTTGTGTTACTGTTTGTGGGAGCAACATCAAGAAAAGTCAACTCTCAATCGTCCCTCGTCTCGAAGCTTGCAACTGTTCAGTATGATAATGCCTGCAGATTACGAGCAATGTGGACGGTTTCGTTTGAACTTGCTTTAGAGCTTGCTTTCCAGCTGGGGAACCCAGCGGTAAGTAGTAAAAGCATGACCTGGGTGCACAAACGCAGACAGCTTTAGAAGTCACATTATCTCACTGATTAATCCAGGTGGTATGCTTTTTTGTCTTCAATTCACTCTTCCATGGATGTGACTCGTGTTGAGCTGAGTGCATGCTACTAGCACAAATTCCAGGTAGACGTTTTGTATCCGGCTGCCAAAAACCTCGTTAAGTTCCGGGGTGAATACGCTAAAGAATAAGTAAAATCATCCACTGTATCTAATTGCATGCACCCAAGTGGCTAGACAGCCTTGTTCACTTCTTTATCATGCAAAGTTCCCAAAAAATGAAAGAGGAACAAATGCTAAGTGGTCTGTTGAGTGTTTATCCGAAAATGCCTGCTGAAGCCCGAACAGAAGCTAACAACATCGAGACCGTGGAACTGCTTCAGTGGATTTGGCAAACGAGGTAAATTTTTAAATATATGGCTCCGATGGTGGTGCTACAAACGGGGTCAGCAGGCACCGAAACTGATAATATCCTCGTCCTAAGACGCTGGACACCTATTATGTCGAGGACGACCGGCCTTATGGGGAACTGAGGTTGGCTCGTGTGAACTTTAGATTGCACTTAAAACTGCATCAGAAGCGTGGCTTCTCCAAACGCTTGAAGATCGAAACATTAAAGGACACAACGATTGCGCACACTGGGGGACCCAATCGAAAGTAATTTCGCAGCCGCACTCGCAAGAAGAAATTTAGCCAAGTCATCAAAACATGACCGTTTACAATGAACGGCAATGCACCCCACAAAAAGCAAGAGAAGACGATACTAGAACTGCCAGTCTAAGCCGCTTTAGTGGGTTGTTCTGTAATGCATCAGACAAGCGGGGATCAACGAACACCAACCGTGGTGATGCAACGAGACGCCTCGACTAAAGAATCAGGTGGAAGAAACCATTTGTTCAGCCAGTTAACCATTATTCTGACTGTTTTCCACACCATTCTGACAAACTTGAAAATCACCCGGACGATTAACGATTTGAGAACGGGGAAAAACCCTTAGAATATAGCATCATTCTTGAGCTTAAGACTTCCCCGCTCGATATGGTGTAGATTAATGTGGTCAATAAAGAAGGGTACTTTAGTTCGTCAACCATTCTCGAAGAACGGAGACAAGCCAGTCTGTGATAACTCTCTGAGCATCAATCAGCCTTATCGATACAAGAGCTAAATATCCGCAAAAGTTTTGCTCAAACGGATTTCTACTGTCCGTTTATCGTTAAATCAGATATCAATCGACCTGGTCCCCCGTCCCCGGTGTCTGGTGTTGAAACCAAGACTGGGTTACCATTTTTGTGTACCTTGTCCCGGGTCGACTGGCGCCATTAGTTGCAGTATACAATAATCAGAAAGCAGCCTTATTCATGTGCAGAGATCAGCATTCACAAAGCGAAGTAAAATAGTAGGGTTTATACCCTCCAATGGATTATACATAATAACTACTTTAAGCTGAATGCACCACCCATTTGTATCGCTTTTTGACGTAGAAGTCACTATTTTTCCGGATATCACAGGCTTATTACAACACTCCTATCTTGAAGAATAACAAAAAAACAGGGTACCGAACTTGCTATTTTTTCTTACCATCGGCTCTACCTAGTGAACCAAAGCTAACGTCACACAAATTGGAGGATACATCCCCACACGACTTATTGAAGCGATTGCCATGAAACATATGTGGACAAACTGTTTTGAAATCTATCATCACGGGGCTGGCAAATAAGTCCCGTCATTTTTATAATTTGGATGGCGTTAAACGGCACTTTTGACGAGTCTAATCAGTTATGGCAACCTACTGCTCGCTAGTCAGTCAAAAAACTATCGGAGATGCGCGTTGGTCTCATCAGGCATGATGAGCTTGTGATTTATTGGTTAGTTGAAAGAAGCGACGTTTGGCGGAAATGCAATCTAACAAACAAATTTTATCGCATTTTCCTGACCAATCGCGGGGAATTTTCATTCGAAAAAGCATCGATTTATAATGTTCTTCGAAACTAACATTCATTTGTGTTGCTAACCTATTGTAAACCCTTTTTAATACTCTATCAGAGGCCACGTTTGTTTCATCATGATTACTCATACACGTGCGCGATGCATGATGCGGACAGATTTTCCTGTCCGCCATGCGCGATTTCCTAACTACTTAGTCTTAGCTTTGATGCAATTAGACTGGTACACACACACAACTTCATGCCCATACAGACGCAACAATCTTACCGTAAAGTGCTTTGAAGAGACATCTATGAAACTCTAAACCGAAGTAGTAGTGTTTCAAACAGTAATACTTTTGAGAACGGAAAAAAGTGATGCGCGCAAAGCGCA